TCTCAAAATACTATTAGTAAAGTTCAGCTCCATCCCATAAGCTCCTCTTTGGTATCTGCTAGGCAAAGGCAGTGTGGCAGGAGGCAGGGAATCACTTTGCCCCTTTCTCCCAGCACAAAGGGAGGCACTGTGAAAGGCCTCCTAGGAGTAGAAAGGCTGCTTCATATTACAACGTGCTCAGCAAGCATCTGCCTGCCCCTATCAATTCTACCACAATTTACTCGATTTAGATCTTGCATCTGGAAAACTTTGCTGTAATTCATACCTTTAGCTCCAGTTCTTAACAAAATCAGAAGCAAGTGAATCGTGACACACAAAAAATCTCTGAAGTCCAGGTTGCCAGTGTCACTCTTTTATACCATATTCCCACATCTGCGTTCAGAAGGCCAGGAAATCCCACTTCACTTTCTATCTTACTTCAGTTTTTCACCCGTGTGGAAAATCATGATGTTCGCACTCAAGTTTTTATCTGCTAGGCTCAGGGAGCCATGTCCACTTTTCTAGACACTGCAATATTCTGGCCTCCTGGCAAAAAGGGAGTGGTTATCTTAAGTTTCTCTTATCGTCTTTACTATTCCTGAAGGGCAGAAAGCAGTTGCTACAAGGCTGCCCTTATCATCCCTAGTCACTGAGTGAAGTAGTAAGGCAGCCAGGCCAGTGCTCCTGGAAACAGCAGGTCTTTCCTGGGCTCCCACATCTGGGTTGGGATCTGAAGAATCCAAAGGCAGGGAAGACACTGTTCCTCCTCTCTAAAGCCTCATGATTTAACGGGGAGGTAGAGCTGAAAATCCCCAGTGCCAAGTTAAGTGATACCGACAGTAAGAAATCTACTAGGAAATCTGAGAACTATAGAAAATCTAAAGGCCACCCGACTCAGTCTTTTCCCCAAGCAGAAATCATCCAACATCCTTGTCAGACTATTAACCTTCTGACTGAATGTAGATCTCATAGCTCATGAAGCAGTTCATTTAAGTTTTCAAAGTCTTTTATTGCTAGAACATTTTGTCCCGATGTGAACGAAAACTTATTATTCCACGCAGCAGTGATTTTCAAAACTTTTAAATGTTTAACTAACGGTGTGTGCCTTTGAAAGAAATATTAGACACAAACAGAGAAAGCGGGTAGAGGCGGAGCATCCCTGTTGGCAGCTACAACAGGCCCTCGGCACACCTACCAGTCTTCTCTGCTTCGCTATCCCCTGCCACTCCAGGCTCACCACAGAGTCTGTGCCTTGAAAGCTAATTAGAGTCAATCCAGTTCGAGCAGCACATGTCAACCCTTGAAAACAGCTCTCTTGTATCTTTTGAACTCCTTTTGGGGGTGGGATTAAACTTGCCCATTTCAAATGATCTAGTCTCATTATTTTCCCTCGTATCTTCCCATCCTAATCATTCTCCTTTACAAAAAAAAAAAAAAGTCAAAACTATATTTGCACACAATCCTTTCTGTACTGTGACCAGCTGAGGACACAGCCTCTCTTACTATCTGGACGTCAGAACTACTTGAAGAGGATTTAGTGAAAAAAGAAGGACCTGGGCTGGACCTTGAAAAACACTGGTCTATTGGTAGCGAGAAGACAAAATTCCAGGCTAGGAACTAGTCTGAACAGAGACACAGAAAGTAAATCAAGGGTCTCCTGATAGGCTCAGGCCACTTCTCCTCTTTATGGGTTCTTTTTCATTTAGCCACCTGCTCACACTTATTTCTCAGAAGAAAATTAAACCAGATCTTATCTCTAAGAATGTAGGCTTTTCTTGTGCTAGGATCAAATTAGTGAAATGATCTGATCACTACCAAAACTGGGTCACTTCAACATTCTAGCCACCGCCACAGGGGAAAGGATACTTGATGAAGATGTTTGATAAGTCTGTGAAAAAATTGTATTATTTTTCAATGAGTCAACATCTTGACAAGAAGATTCATAAAGGGTATAATGTTACTGAAGCACAGCCCTGGAAATTCTCAGATCAAATGCCAACCCAAAGAACACATTATCTGTACAAAATTATCTTTTCTTTGTTATTTATCAAGCCACGGGTAATAATATAACCCAAATGGGCAGTGAAATCATTTTCGTATGATGAATGCTCCGACACCAAAGCAGCACACCCTGTGGAAGCAAATGTCAGGACCAAGGTTTTTCAGCAAATATGTTCATTACAACGTATTTCCTCCTGCAACTTGGCATTACTATTTACAGATAATGAACTCAAGCATAATGCTCTTTCATACAATTTAGTTTTTCATCAAAGGAGAGAGATTTTAAAGGTAACTCTTTTCTCTTAAGATGTGCTCTTCTAGAAACTAGATGAGTACTCACACCATGGGAATGGAATTGCATGCAGCACTCCTAAACTTGGGGAAACTGAACTTGTCCTAAATTTTAATATCTATTATTAATCTAAAGATTTTAAGGCATTAAAAACACTGATCTTGCTAGCATTCAGGGTAATTGATTCAGACATTTTATTTCCATTATTTTCTCTTTTTCCTTCATCTCAAAAGGAGGTAATCTGAATTGCTCTAATCTGAAAAACAACAATAAGTGTAGCAAATACTTGACAATGAAGATGAAAAGCCTCTAAAAATCTGTTACCTTAGTAACAGCAAGAATGTAGAAGAATAAGAATACACTGTCAGGACATCATTTCAGATTCCACAGATTTGAGGCCTAAATACAGTCAGCTTTCATTAGCTTTTTGTTTTTCCCAGCAGGTCCTTGGACTTTGAAACAAAACCTGAATGACAGCTATGAGCAATTCCAGCCCGGCTCCTGATTAGCTATGCCAAACAAAACAACTCTCTGCAGTGTAAACTTTCCAGGCATCTGCAACCAAGCCTCTGTAGAGACTATAATTCCTCAGCGAGATTTGAAGAAAGCTTGGGGGGAGGGAGAGGGGGAGGGGGAGGGGGAGTAGGAGGGGAGGGGGAGGGGGAGGGATGAAACCCCTTCCACCTCAAACTAGTTCCCTGAATTACTCTCTCATTACAGCAGGAGGGAAAATAAAAGTAGAACTAGCTTTGGTGTGGTTGTAATTCTAACTTTGCCTTATTATACTGTTTAGCCAGTTCTTTAAATCCCAATATTCTATTCCAATTAACAGTCCTAGCATTTATAACATCTGTGCATCCGAACCACACATACATTTAAACCAAACAAGCAATTCTGAGAACTGATTCATATCAAGTAGAGCAAGCAGTTGATCAAAGAGATCCAAGAAGAGGAAGAACAAGGACACATGAATGGATAGTGCCCCAAATGGGTACGAGCTAAGATTTTGTGTCATTTGTTCTCGTTCGCTTTTGCTGAATGTGACCCAAAATTAATCACAGCAAATGACACAGAACTGTGCTGTCTGGCCCCATCTGCTACTTAATTAGATCCCTGAGGAACTGACTATCAAGCTTTTCTCTTATGATCAGGCTGCTGGATTCTACCCAGAGAGCATCGCTTTATGTACACAGAAGAATCAAAGATTAGATCCCAAAGCAGTGAGTTCTAGCTGGATGCTTGACTTTAATGTTGTAAATGGTTTTAGAAAAAAGTTGTCTGCAGAAAAGTCTGTGCTGAAGTATTAAGTGGCAATTCAACTATATGGAGAAGGGAGTTAAACTGAAAGTTTGGCTTTAACAACATCCCAGCAATCTCTTCAGAAGTAAAAATGTGCCTTTCTGGGAAGAGCGAAATAGTAGCAATGCAGTTTGCTCTTGTCTTCTGAAAAGTGGCATTTCACCCCACTCTGATCTCTCCTGCTTCTGAGATAGTCTACAGCAACTGACACTGACGTACTTGGAACGTTACTTGATCGAGTTCCCTATTCCAAGCCAATAACAAAACCAAAACAGTGTCCTGATCATCAGGTAGCATGAAAGAGAAGAAAAGCAAATCTAACTTCCTAAAGTATAATTTTCAGATATATGGTAACAAAGTCATAGAACACTTAGTACTTATATGGCCACATCAGAAAACCCTTCCTTAGATTTAAGACAAGAGCAAATTCACATCCTTAAAGGTTCAGATGGAAAAGTCAAGTTCAGCCCTAAAAGAAGACCTATGTACACAGACTCACAAAAAAATCAGAATCGGGAATAAATTAATTTTAGACACTACAGACAAGGAAGATATCAATGTTTAAGAAGTTAATAACAAATCAGAAAGCTACATTCCTTTTTTTTTTATTCAATGTGTCTATAAAACCACCACTTTATTGTTAAAAAAGCCTTAATATATTTTCTGTAACTGATGAAGGCAAGGACAGAAAACCCCTAAATATGAGTACACGCTCTTAATCCCAAACCAAACCTGCTGATTCAGCACAGAGTTCTCACAGAGGCCTTATCTGTAAGAGGAACAACCCATTGTCCGGCTGAAACAAAGGGCACTGCACAGGAAATCAGCCAAATCTGGGCCAGATGGTCACTGATTCAAGTTTCATTCTCCCCACCCCCACTCACCCTGGCACTCCAAAAATAGATCTAGGGAGCATTTTTGGTTACCAGGTAATTGCGCTGCGTGTGAGGCATGAGAAGGTACCTACACCCCCCTCTCCAACACCAATGAATTTGTTAAATGTCCTTCTAAAAAGTTAAGCAAGGAAGCTGCTCTGCAGAAAAATACCTCTAAAAGCCTGTTTCGGAGGCGTAGTGTGAAGTTTTACCAGATGGAATGATTTAAAATATTCACGCTAATTTGTTCTCATCTACTGTTTTCCTCAAGCCACAGCACAAAATTGAAACTAACCCAGAGAAAACGGACTTATCCCAGCTGTTTTCTGTAGATTGCTATCACCTTCCCCAAAGGTTCTTGGTTTGTAATCTAGAAACATTTTCAAAACTACTAATGAAAAGCTACCAAAACCCAACTGTAATAAATATCGGTACTAATTTCCTAATGCTATTAAAAACATAAAAGTTTTGTTACAAAATTCGTGTCATAACCATTTGAGAAGGTAAAGGTATAAATACAGCATAATATTTTTCGAAGTATTCACATACTTTACCTGGACTGAAGAAACTCCACAACACCAGGCCTGCCCAAGCTCAGTCATTCAAATGCAGAAAGACTGACAGACAGGTTACTTTCTCCAAGCCTCAGGAGTTTAGAGGAACAGAGAGAAGCTGCAGAAGGAACAAAAAAGAAATGTGTGTTTGAGGGGAGCGGGTACTTCTAAGAATGACACTAATATTCCTCTTCTCAAGGAAAACACCTCTACATATTCCATTGGAATTACACAGAAAACAGAACAAGCTGGGGAGACGGCTCAATGGAACAAAGGTTTCCCTGGCAAGCCGTAGGGCCTGAGTTCAATCCGCGGTTCTGGGGGGGAAAAAAAAATCTTCAGAAAACAGAATGAAAAATCACTGATATTGATTACAAATCAGTGTGTGTAATCTCACCTCATAAAATTTATAAATTAGAATATTGCTATAAACACAGTCCACCCATCTCCTGGTTACTGTAAAACTTAGTCATGGATTCTAAACAGCAACTATTCATTAAAGCAAAACATCTACAACTATGTCAATGATTTAAGCGACCATTCTGCAAGTACCCAAGAGAAACTTGTATAGTATACAGATGTATATACAGGTCTGAAACCTCTCAAAAATGTTCAGAAGATATTCCTGTATCTTTTCTACTAAAAATATTTCCAATAAGAGTGGCCATTTCTTTAAAGGGAATCCTTGGCTCTATGGGGCTCCTTAGAAATGTTTACACTTATGCGGCTTAAGTAAATTTTATCTCCCAATGAACAGCAATACCTTTAGTAAACTTTATAATTACTCTGGAAATGTCAACTTAGGAGTACATTTTATTGGCATGCTACAGTGTAATTTTTTGGGAAAGTTTACATATAGAAAGGTTTGGGCAAATAAAAGAGGTTTTTGGTTCATTTGGGTTTTTTTTTTTTAGCACAAGATAATCAGAGGCCGGTAAAGCAACAATTAAAGACAAAAATTACTTCAAAATATGCAATCAACAGCAACTCTTAAATATGGTCTGTTTTATTGTAGGGAAGTAGGAAAAAAGGCTGCTAAAGAGTCCAGCCTAGGCCATTTAGCGATCTAGTGAGACGCTGACTTAAAATAAAACATTGATATGTGTGGTGTGGTTAGGATAGCACAGTGTCCTCTGTGTGTTTCACTTAAATGTAAATTTATCTTAGAGACTCTAAAGATGAGCTCAGAAGGTAGGCAAATGTAATGTAGCTCAGTGCAAAGGCCCTGGGTTCAATCCCCAGTACAAAAAAAAGGAGCTGTTAGAGGCAACAGAAGGGAACCTTCTTGAAGAGCACACTCGTCGATGCATGCACAATGCCAGCAATGGCTGCAAAATAAAACAAAGACACGGAGCTAGGGAATCTTGACCTTCTGTTTTTAACAGGATAGTGACAAATGGGAGCTTCCTCCAAAAGTTGCCATCAACAACTGCTACCAGAATTTAGTTTACAATTATGCCATCAGATACATTTCAATCAGTGGTTGCAAACCTGGTCTAAATATGCATGTGCCATGAGACTTCAAGGGTTTTTTGTTTTTTTTTTTTTAACATCTCAGATTTAGGTATTTTAATGTATTTATGCAACCTGATTTCTGGCTAAAATACTACTGTTTTCCTTTATATAGTATTATAAAATAATAGTACCATACTAGGCAATGACTTGTTATGTATACTTTTATCAACTAAATTAATTTTCTTGCAATGGAATTATGTAATCTCAAAAAAAAGATGCTAAAAGGTAATCCATTAAGAAACTTTAGGGCAGTTGAACACTGGTTGTGTTTTTCTTTAGTGTAAATCAGAAATTTCACTATTGAAATTTGAAGAAAATGACTATTGATATTAAAATTCTCTACCTTCTGAGCTCATCTTTAGAGTCTCTAAGATAAATTTACATTTAAATGAAACACACACAGAGGGAGTTAGACTACCATAACCATCCCACACACAGCAATGTTTTCAGAGATTTAAACCTCCAACTCCTAGGAGAAAAGAAAATTGCGACTACACAACTACTTCTGGTCAACTCAATATATCATTTGAATAGGACTTATGCTAATGCTCTAATTTTATGTAAGAGTTAAAGGAAATGTATAAAATCAAAGTACAAATCAAAATACTAACACAATTCAATAAAAAACAGACGATCCATTCACATCAGTTTCTAGAAAACTAGGTCTTAATAAATAAAAACTGTATCAATAACAACGAATGACTCCATGAAGTAGTGGAGCAGACTAACGACCTTTTTCCTTGATACGTCTTTTAGGGAAGCAACAGAGTTTAAAGCTAAAATACCAATACGTTAGTATTGGGTTCTAGTTACGTTAAGTCTTTCCTTTTTTTTTCTGACTCTGTAACTTATATTTTCTTCTTGATGGCCCACAAATCCAGTAGAAAATTTAATTCAATTAAGAGAAAATTTGTATAAGGATAATATACTTATGACAAATATAGCATTGCTTTCATCTTTTTTTCTAAATATAGTACATACATGAGAAACATATCAAGGTGCAATTTCACTTATGAAACCTGTGATGAATATAAATTTCTAAAGAGTGAATTCTATTCACAAGAAAATATTTTAATATCTATGTTTTTAATGTTTTTTAGTATTAATTACTATAAAGATTTAAAAGAATAGTGATGTATGAGGCTGGTGAGATGGCTCAGTGGTCTAAAGCACCTTAGAACAAGCTAAGCTAAGCAAAACCCAGGGACCGCAGTTCGATCCCCCAGCACCACATGCCCGCCAGCCCTGCCCCCTGGTGGGCTGAGCTGGCCACACACACACACACACACAAAATAAATAAATAAAGAAAGAAAGAAAGAAAGAAAGAAAGAATAGTGATGTATTAAGTCATCTCAAATAATTGTAAATGTGCTTTTTTATTATTTTTTTTTTGGTACCAGGGATCACACTCAGGTCCTCGTACTTTCCAGGCAGGAACTTATGCTGCTGAGCTATCTCCCCGGCTCTGTAAATGTACTTTAAACAGCCTGAAGGTTAAAATGAACTTTCATTTTTGCCCTCATAATTTCACATACCTTAAGTTTGCTACCCAAAGAAAGTCTGTCGGCTGAGTAGTGATCATACTCCTACACTTCCATCCTCTTTCTCTTAACACTCACTGGTGTCACTAATAAATTTAAACACTCACAGCAAGACTTCCTTAACAGCACCCACACAGTGTCAGATTTTACATCTGATGCCTCATGCACAAGTTTAAAATGTCTTTGGGCTTATAAAAAATAAAAAGGGCATGACAACTCTAAGCAGATATCAGTTCAATGAAATATTTTTTAGTTTTCATATGGGGCATAGAACAAATAATGTATTTGCATATAACATTAAAATCTTTTACTATGTAATAATGGTTTTAAGAATATGGTTTGAATAAAATTAGATCTGTACCTACAAAACTACAAGGTACGCTTATGCATTTTAACTAGACTAGTTTTCTTTTTTTCATGTATTTTAGTACACGGTCTACAGGCTCTCACTATGTAGATCGGACTTGTAGTGATCCTCCTATTTTCAGCCTCCCCAGAGCTGGCATTACAGGCAGATGCCACCATGCTTCGTCTCAACCACCCTCTCAGTGTGCCTCAGGGGTGGGGCCTGCAAGGCTTGTGGTGCCAGGGATTGAACCTGGGCCCTGCGCTCTGCCTAAGCAGGCACCCTAGTCCCCTGAGCTATTTGGCTGGCCCTTAGACTGTTGTTATCTCCAGGGCAGGGACAACTCTTTTTTTTTTTTTTTTTTAAAAAGCTTTTTCTATTTATTTATTTGTGTATGTGGCCAGCTCAGCCCACCAGGGGGCGGGGCTGGCTGGCATGTGGTGCTGGGGGATTGAACCGTGGTCCCTGTGCTTTGCTAAGCTTGTTCTAAGTAGGTGCTTTAGACCACTGAACCATCTCACCAGCCCCAGGGACAACTCTTTATTTTCCTTGCTCTTTTCACACAATATCCGTTCCAATTATAGGTGCCTAATATAAACTTACTGACATATTTATTACTAATTTCCTGCTCAACAGAGAGTCCATTACCCAGTGGATAATAATCCCACCGGACTATGAACCTCTTGCTTAGTAGGAAGACTATGATGACAATCATTTTCAAGGAAGTGACAAACACATTTAATAATTAAGCCTTGGGGGCCAGGGAGATGGCTCAGTAGAATAAGCGCTTCCCTGGCAAGTGCAAGGGCCTGAGTTCAATCCCTGGTTCCAAAAAAAAAAAAAAAAAAAAAAATTAAGCCTTTATCCAAATGAAAACAGAGCCAGGTGTAGCAGTAGGTGGCTGAAGTGGGAAGATCCCAAGTTCAGGCCTAGCCCAGACAATTTACCAAGTGAGTCAGACCCTGCCTCAAATGAACAATGAACAAATAAAACAGAGTGATGGTTTGATATTATAACTACTATTACCAATTATTACTTTGAAAATCAGCACAGATTCAACACAAACTTCAATCTAAGAATTATGGCCTGTTAGTCTGGTTTACCAACATGAACATCAGCTTCGCAAGCGCAAACCACATGGAGATGTCTGAAATTTCTCACATGACAATATCTAAACCAATTAGTATTTTAACTCTGGAAGTTTTACCAATTTAAAACTAATAAACCATGTAAATTGTAAAAACTGAATTTCACAGTTCTATTCTAGTAGGCAACATATCCCTACAAACATATGAATTCAATAACTTTTTTTTAACTAGGATTTTTTTTTTTTAAGATGATGTCTTGTTATGTTACTGAAGGCTGGCCTCAAACCTCCTACTATCCTCCTACCTCAGCCTCCTACGTACAAATAATCCTCCTTTAATGACCATTTCATTCCTGCAACTAGTTCATAACTGAGTTGGTGAGTAAGAGGAATTGTATATAGTATGTACACTACAATTTTCAGACCACAAAATGGTCAAAGAAAATTCCAACTTGACTTTACACTTGCATAACTCTTACCTGCAGAACTGTAATGTACAGCAGAGCATAAAACTAAGCACAGTTGCTACAGGGAACCAGCAAAACTTAAACTATTACTAAGACATCACAGAACCAAGAACCTGCCTGGCTCCATAAAACCACTGGAAATGCTGAACGTCCTGGACA